GAAGATGATTGGGGGGATTCAGAAGGAACAATTGTTCCTTTGGCGAGATGTTTGTTGATAAAGTCATTCATGGCCTTCTCTTGTTTCATATTAAGCAGGTAAATTTTGCATTTCCATGGTTCAAAGGTTTCCTTGAGATCAATCTTGTGGTCATACTTGTGTTCTGGAGGAAGGGTACCATTAGCTACATCACCAAATACATCCTTATATTGTCAGAACTCTTTGGGTATGAGTTCTTTGAAGGTTTTCTTGGGTTTGGCAGTGTCATGGGTGAGTGTCTGGGAAATATTGTCAGTTTTTTGGATAAAGGTGTGAAAATCATTGTTGTTGTTAATAGGATCTAGAAGGTGTGGGAGAGTTTTGTTAGCGGGGTCCCATTCTTCTTCTAGTTCTTCTAGAGCATCATAAAAGACATCTTCTTTGTCTTTGATTTCTTCAATGGTTGCTTTTTTCAGGGTATGCTCCCTTAGGTGGACTTCTTGGTTAGTCCAATTGATATCTGGGTTTTCTTTCTTTAGCCAAGTCATTCCTAGGATAGCATCATGCTTCCTCATAGGGATATCTTTGATAAGAAAAGAGAGTTCACAGTACCATGCAATTCTTCTGGCTTTGTTTAACGTGCTGTCTACATTTCACACAGGTATCAGGTTTTCTAGTTTGTGTGTGTGGATGTTTTCTTTGAGTATGAATTTCTCATTGATAAACTTGCCTTCTGTGCCACAATCAATTAGAGTGGCAGCTACAGTGGTTTTTGAGGACTTATTCAATCTGATGGTTAAAGGCAAACAAATAGAATTAGTATCACCAACAGATTGTACTACTAGTCTGATTCTGGGAGTGTCTGACACCAGTGCAGTCTCCCCTAGGCAAAATCCTCTTCATCACTACTCTCATCCTTCTTAACCAGTTTCTTACTGGGTTTCTTCATCTGGCATGCTTTAAATGCTTTCCATTCTTGGAATTCTTTGTAATCATCATCAGATGACTTGTTGATTACCTGTCTGGTGTTGGTCATAACCATGGGATGGTTAGGGCAATCTATGGCTAAGCCCTTTTTACTACATTTGAAGCAGAGGCTACCTTTGTGCCTACACTCTCATTCTTGGGGAGTAAGATAAGTTTTCCTCATCTTCTCACTGTCTTCTTCATCTAGTTCTACTTTATCTATATCCATGGCATATGGATCACACACCTTGGTATAGGAGGGAGGTGCTGTTAGGGTCCTTTGGACCTTGACGTCTAAGGCTTTCTCTAGCCAGGATTCGATGGTAGTGGAAATCATGTCAAAGGTATAGATAGTGGAGGTAATCTCATGCTTCAAGCCATTTCTGAAGAACATGATCTTGGTGTTCTCTTTGTTGATGCCAGTATTAGCAAGGATGATATGGAATAGGGAGGCATATGCAGCTATACTGCCTGTCTGCCTAAGAGTAGAAATGTGATGAATCATGGTCTATTCTACATTCTTAGGGAAGAAGGTCACTTTGAACTGTTTAGTGAAGTCAGCCCATGTTCCATAAGTCTTAGCTGCTACTGCAGCTTTCAATTGGCCTTCAGCCCACTTGGTGGCTTTGCCTTTGGTCATGAGGCTAAGTGCAAAGATGACTTTCTTCTTGTCATTATCATATACTTCATCATTCATGTCAAGGTACACCTCAACTTGGAGGGTCCATCCCTGAGCAAGGTAGGTATTGCCATTGAAAGGGGAGGGGGTCTTGCTGATTTCTTTAGGCATGGTGATGGTGGCTGATCATTTGTATGTTTGGGTGAAGAAGTTCCAAACTTTATTCTTCAGGGCTTGGTTGGTGTAGTACACTGCCCACTGTTCTAGAGAGTATCTGTCACCTTTAGCATCTAGGCAGAAAAACTTGTTCTTCTCTTCATCCCAGGTGAAACCAGGAGGAGTCAGTGTGATGGTTGAAATGGTGTCTGTTTCTGGGTGTGAGTTTGAGGGAGCCACATGGTAAAGTAGTAACTTGACCTTTTGTTATGCTTGGCATTCTAAGAATGACTAGATGGAAACAAATGATCTAAAGTGTGAACCTATTCATGAGTCATGCGAGTTAAGCAGTATATTGCAGGCCTTGGTCTGCATAGGTCAAGTTAAAGAATACAAGCATAAAAGATAGGGTTTAAATAGAGGGATTAAAGTGGAGCTTTAATAAATGAATTGGAGATGAAAAGTAAATAGTGAATCAGAAAAGAGAATAGAAATTGTATGATGAAATGTAATAGAACATCTAAGAATGATTAATAATGTGAATAAGTGAAGAGATGAAGAGAAAAGAGAGGAACTGTAACAAGATGCTAGATGATGCAGACATGGGCCTGGGGTGCATGAGACTTGCCTTCAAACAGAATTGCTGGTCCCATTGTCCTTTATCTGTAACACAACATGAAGGTGACCATCAGTGTGCCAGTAAGTTTATGACCTATGAGAGAAAATGATTATCCTTATTGAGTACAGATAATTTATCATCTGCTATTATAGAGGCTCCAAATGGCTATGTTCTCACTATCCAGCTTGACTGATTGTTTGTTATGAATGGTCAAGAGTTGCCTCAAATTTGCATAAATGTTATTATGATAGTATTTGCCTCATGTACATACTACTAGTATTAGTATTATGCTCTGTCCCTTCCAGTTTCACACAATGTTTTATGTTCATGTTGTTATTGTTGGAATCCAAAGGATCCAAGATAGGTATGAGGGGGAGATGATAAGAATGCTGGTCTGAGTGCAAGTCAGATGTAGCCAATGGGCAGTGTCATGCTGGTATCAAATTGTGCCCTGGAATATATGTCAATGTTTTCATTTATTTTCATTCCTTATATACTTACTATAAAGTAACCCACACCAGCAGTCAAACATCTTGAACAGAAACTGAGATGTGAGTAGTATATTCATGTATGTCAGCTTTAGCTAACAAAAACTGTAGTGTACCTTGTCTTTCTAGGTACAGTGCATGTCAATAAGAGTTCTTGAACAGGAGCTGAGATTGTACCTTGTCTTTCTAGCACTCCTGCTCCCTACCTTTATCTCATAATATGAGAGTTATCTCAGTCTTTGAATTGAATTTTGCATTGTCTAAAATCCATCAGTAGTCTGAAACAAAATATTGAGTTTACATTTCAATGGTATTTTATAATATACACTTGAAGCACTACTACTAGTATGATTTGCACTCAGACTCTGAACCTCAACTTTCAAATGCAAAATCCCATGAGCCATGTAGAACTGTGAGTGATTGTAATGAATGTATACCTTGTGACACTATTTGCTGTGACTCTTGGCAGAACTATGAAATCTGTGATCAGTTGTTGTGGGAACACAAGTCTTTAGACTCCAAACCATCAGCATGGTGTGTGAGAGTCTTATCCTAGTGTCACAATACCAACTACATATTATTTCAAATCCCACACCTTAATTCAAACACCACAACTTCAGATTCTACACACCTAGCTGACTGGCATAAGTTGTTGTGGCGTCAAGTTTGCCACTATTTGCTACCACTGAAAAATCCATTCAAATGTTTGATGAGCCATCAGGTACACCAGGCAGATGGTAAGCTCAGTAGCATAACATAACTGCATATGTCCCATTTGGTCCTAAGCTAACTACTCCCTGTAACCCCATCAGATGTCTGCTCATCATTTCAATGTCCCAAGCCTTGTAAATATGAAGCAGATCATCCAAGAGAAGTTTGGCTTGTCTCCCTGCACCTGGCATCTTTTGATGATGGTTTTCCCTGCTATCAAGTAGGGCTAAAACAAGGTTCCAAAGGTTCAGAGCAATATCTTGCATCTTCACAGCAAACTGACTCATAAATGTTATTTTCAATTGCTCTACAGTTGCAGAGGCAGCCTTGAAATGGAGGCCATGTTGCTCAAGGGATAGTTCAGCAACCTCTTTGCACAGTTCTCCATGTAATGTTCCTGCTGCCTAGGCAAAAACCAATGGTCATGAGTTCTTGTCATTATATAGCTGTGCACAAATCCAAGCTATGTTCATTGTTAATGACTCTTGGCCATTGGCATGAATAGTATGCCTGCTGTCCAAGACTCCAGTAATGAATCCTGCTGCTGACAGACTGTTTTGCTGCAGGCACTGCAGGACATTCATCAGTTGCACCTCAAGGCTCATTCTGGTGCAGTGCACAATATAGTGGTACTGTATTCATTTTCAACATCTTGCCTCATGTTTTACATGAGGTTTCATACAGTTCTGCTCCCATTTTCACTTGTTCTCCTTGACAGCAATGTGTATTATATAATATGAATATAATAATTACCTGGTTTATCACACATGTGTTTATGTTGCTAAGCTGCCTGGTGTACCTGATGGCTTGTCAAACATTTGAATGGATTTTTCAGTGGTAGCAAATAGTGGCAAACTTGACACCACAACAACTTATGCCAGTTGGCTAGGTATGTAGAGTCCAAAGTTGTGGTGTTTGAATTAAGGTGTGGGATTTGAAATAATATGTAGTTGGTATTGTGGCACTAGGATGAGACTCTCACACACCACACCAATGGTTTGGAGTCTGACAAGTCTTGTGCTTTCTGTGGGAAAAGTTGTAGTTTGCTGATGTGCAGTGATCCTGGTCATGCTGCCAAAGGCTGCACAGCTATGGTCACTCTAGCCATGTCTTAGGGTTACATTGGTCTTCAGGTCTTTCCATCACCAGCTTTTGTTTTTATTGGCATGTTCCATACTGTATTTTATGTTGCAATGCATCAATTTCCATATATTTGCATTGAAGCCAGCAAGATATCAAAGGGACACACAATCATATTCAGATCTATGGAATTCTAACTAGTAGTCAATGCATCAAAAAGCATACACCAGTGCTGATGTACATCATTTTCACAGCTGCAGAAAGCACAGATATCAACAACTATCTACACAATATGAAGTGCCATAGCCACAGTATATCTGCATGGCAGTGCATGGAAATGACCATGTCTGATTTTCACTGGGGATGATGAGTGGCCAGCAGAATGGCCCTAAGTGCCTTTTCTGTGCTGGCTAAAAAAACAACATCATGTGACTGGTTAAAAAGTGGCTAGTTAATAGTGGGAATCAAAGTAGTTTTCTAAACTCACTAAAGCACTTGGTAAAGAACTGGCTAAGTGTTCTAGCACAGCTAACAACAATGAAGTCAGCCAGCATCTAGTATTGGAGCTCAAATACCAATGCCTGCTGTCCACCAATGTGTCCACTGTTCTGCAAGGCTTCAAGCAGACACTCAAAGTTGCCCAAAGGCAATAGAGTTACCCCCCCATCCATCCACATCCCGTGGAAGAGGGAAGGCTTGAGGACATTGGTCCAATCCTGCTCATAATCAGGCTCCTATAACTGCTGGACTGAAGATAATCGTCCATTGGACCAAACCTTCAGATTTCCACCACACAGACACTCTGGTGCAGCATCTTTCCACTAATTCTGCAGATGCCTGCATACTATTCTATGAGGGGAAAAAAACTGCTGCTTCTAACAACAATGAGTGTCCTTCTGGAAAGGACAAAGGAGAAATCCATCGGTTCTTGGCAAAACTGATCTTCAAGGACTCAGATTATTTGGCAGCATATGCTGAGGACCCAAAGAAATTTGATGTCACGGTGGGCAACCATATCATATCGTAAGTGGTTTCTACCACTCAGATGACTGTAGCTACTAATTTAATTCTTCAAAGTCTTGAGAAGTCATTCAAGGAGCAACTCAACAAATTCAACAAGACTGGTGCTGGTGTCACCCCCCTTGATGAAAACGCGGCAGCTAATCTACACAGTAAGTGTTTGTTTTTTCACCATTGTTTCTTATTTTATTTTAAGAACAAGTACTGCTCAAGTTTCCATGGTACGACACCCTATCCTTTTTTCTAACCCAATGTGTGGTGCCAAAATCTTTACCTCCCAGCTGGGAGTCAACCATGCCAGGGACTTCTATACACTTATTCATCCATGTGAGGGGGCTGGTCCCTCCATGAACACAGGGCCTCCTGGCCCTCAACTCCTTCAACTGGACCCTCGACTCCTTCAACCAGACCCTCACCTCCTTCAACTAACCCCTCACCTCCTTCAACCAACCCCTCACCTCCTTTAACCAACCCCTCACCTCCTTCCCCCAAACCCTCAGCTTCCTCCCCCAAACCCTCAGCTCCCTCCCTCAAACCCTCAGCTCCCTCTCCAAGACTCTTGGCTCCCTCTGCCGAACCAACTTGACACTGGTGCTCAGCACAGTCCCCCAGCTTACCTTCCCCCTTCACATCACCCCCCTTCTCATTTCACCAGCGCCAGGGGCAGTCCAGTTGAAGACTCTTATGCTGATGACAACAGTCCTCTCTCTGCTCTCCTTGGAAACACGCTGGATGTGTTAGATGGAGATATCAACATGTATGATGATGATAATGATGACGATGGGGTGGAGTATAACTCCTCCCAGCATCATGTCATCAGCAGTCCCCCCAAAGTGGTGGAACACAAACAGCAATACACAGCCTCTCCTTCTCCCCCTCCTGTCAAAACTAATGCCTTCATTCTACCATGGAAGCCCCAGACACTGGCATACCATAGTTATGTGGCATTTGGCTCTGCCTCACCTGGTAGCCAAGCACCATGTAGACCTCCATCGTTCACTTCATCATTGGGGATATCCCACAGCCGCTCCACCCCCTCATCCACAGCATCCTCATCCTATCTATTGACTGACTATCGCATTTTGCCAATGGCATCCCAGACATTGCTGTCTGCAAAGCCACAGAACTTGGCCAGCTCAAAAAAGAAGAGGACTTGGGCAACAGATGTCAAGGGCCACCTCAGCATGCTCAACAACAAAATTCAGAGCATGCAGAGTGACATGTCTGAGCACCAGGGATCAAGGAATGAGTGTTATGCCATCAAGATGAATTATTAATCTCAGAAGAAGGAATTTCAGTGGCACTGCAAGTCTCGTTCACACAATGTCCTCCTTTCGGCCACCACACATCAATGCGAGCAGGAGGCCAAGGACAAGGAGATTCTGCACCTTCAGGCTGCAGCTGCCTTGCAGGAAAAGGAGGCTGAGACCTGGCGCCTGAAGATCCAATACAAGACCATGATCCATGCTGGTCCCTCAACCTTGTCACCATCAGTTTGAGTATGTGTTGTTGTTGTCTTGTTTTTTTGTCCTTGTTGTCATGTAAATTGTAGCATGTTGTAGTTAGTTTGTGTTACAGTGCCCCACTCTTTTTCCCATCATCACTGTGGACTCCTATATAGCTGTACTTCTAACACTTCCTTTTCACTGTGCTATTTCCTCATGGTCTCCTTTATCTCTGACTCATATCCTGTTTTCCCATGAACCTTCCATTTCTAGTACTAGTTACCCTTTGCCCAGCTTGGTCTGTGCACAATTCCTTTATGTATATAAACCCTAGTTACCACTTGTATTCTCTCTAACTTGAATCTACTCGGTTCTCCTTAATACTCGAACTCTAGCTCCTTGGGAAGGAGGCTAGCCATTGTCCCATTTGAACCTTAGATCCTGTGGGAGTCTAAGTGATTGCTCCTGAGGGAGGTGTTGACTTGATAAGGCTTAATCCTTGATTGACCTTGATCCTGATTCCTTTATTGGAACAATGCTCTATCCAAGTTTGTAACAGTTTGCTACTTGATTTTGATACATACATTTTACATACATTTGTCGAATCTCTTGTAGTAGTACATGTACCTTCTGGTTGCCAATGTGACCCTGGTTCTTCCAAGTTACCCTTCCCTATGTTCAGCTCTTGAGTGAGGACTGTCAAACAGTTGATCCATCATCCTCAAACGAGAAGCTTGCCCTGGAGTACCCTCATATGACCTGTCACCCACAACTTCATCACCATCGGGATCCTTAATCTCTCTAGCTGCAAATTCTCTGGCCTCCTGCTCAGCCTACCTCTGAGAACAGCAGAATTTTGGATTCTGCTCATGGTAGTAAGCTTCAAATCAGATGATCATGTTGTGCAAGATGATGCAACACATAATCCAATGGACAGCAATCTGAAGCTCTCATTCAGTGTGAATATTGAGGCAAAGCTCTTGGAGGGACTAAAACCACCCCTTAAGAGCAGCAAATGCATGCTCAACACATACACAAACCTAAATAAAAATAAAAATAAAAATAAAAATTAGTAACCAAACCATCACAAAAATATGAGCACACTGTGGAAAGATTATAATTAAATGTCTTCTGGTCCTTGGTCAACCTTCCATTGCAGGGCTTCTTGAAAGGGACTATGCACCACTTCTCAAGTGGGTATGCACTGTCATTCCAAACCCAATGGTCATCTGGCAGAAGGGTTTCATGCTATTGATAGAGACAAGTTGATCAGAAAGAATAGGCATCATGGACACTCCCAGGATGACCAAGAGCATAATCAACAATGACAAGGTTGTGAGGCATAACAACTGCCTAAAAAATATTTAATTATTAATCATGAAGGGAGGGGGAAAAATACCTGGCAGCCAAGAGAATAGTTAGATTTCCTATCATAGAATGTCTCACCAAAATGAGCAGGTTTGGCATAGAGGTCAACTGTTGTGCCATCAATAGCTAGAATGCCATTGCACCACTCAGGACAAGTCTTGGACTCTGCAAATTGCTGAGCAAGCTCAGCATCTTCTGAATCAGGACGTGAGAAACCAACAAATTTGTCATGCTGGTTGAGCAGTGCAATCATTACACAATTAGTGCAATTCACAACTGACCCAACACTTATACCTGCCTATTGGGCAACATCCTCAAGAGAAATTGCATTGCCATAGTGGCCAGCACAATTAAGGAAAATAGCAAGCTGAATGGAAATGGGAAGTTGGGGATTATTGGATCTGTTGAAAAAGATATGATGATCAGAGATTTGATCAAGGATGTCATCAAAAATGATAGGGTCAACACATAGCTTTTGCCGAAATAAGTAAGGGTGGTATTTCTTGTGATGGACAAGCATGTGTAGCTGGGGAGCTCATGGGGGAGGCTCATCTGGCTTGTTAAGGACACAAGCCCTTGCAACCTCATCATGAAGAGCTGCAATTTGGTGCTGAAGCTGATTGTAACATGCAGTGATCTCATCAGAATCTGTAGATCCATCAGAAAATTCACCAGAGGAGCTGGAGGAAAGGGTGGGTGAAGAGGTGATGTCCATGCTTGAATCAGAGTTGGAATTAGAGTTGGAATTGGAGCTAGAATCAGAGCTTGATTCCTGAGCTTCCAATGCATGCTGATATTGGAGTTGGGCTAATGACAATGCAGTTTTATCAACTGCATGAAGGAGATCTTTATGGCTGGATGGGTGAGGCATGATGTGGCTTGAGATTGAGATATGTGTTCCCTTATCATCCCCCTAACTGATCAGTGTGATCGATCAGCAGAGTTTAAATCAGAGTTTCAAAATTACCATGGTCAGCATGCTAAGTCTCACTCATCATGGATAACAGTGACCAAGCTACCATCCCAGCTGTGCTGCCCTCCCTGGATGCTACCACTGGCAACTGGTTCCAATGTGCCTTTGTCTATCACCTCCCTGAAAATCAACATTCCTAACAACAACACCAATAATACCACAAACATCATCAACTTTCATTCCCCTAACAACAACACCAATACCACTATGAACTCCATCAACTTTCACTCCCCTAACAACAACACCAATACCACTATGAACTCTATCACTCATGCAATGTGCAGTGCCAAAATTTTCACCTCCCAGCCAGGAGTCAGCCACACTGTGGATTTCTACATGCTTATTCATCTACATGGGGGGCTGGTTCCTCCACCCATCAAACTGCTACTGGCACCCAGCTCCCTTCCCCAAGCCCATATGCTACTGGCACTTGGCCCATTCCCCCATTCCTTCACCTCCTTCAACCAAACCCTCGCCTCCTTCAACTGACCCCTTGCCTCCTTCAACCAACTCCTTGCCTCCTTCAACTAACCCCTTGCCTCCTTCAACCAACCCCTTGCCTCCCTCAACCAACCCCTCACCTCCTTCAACCAACCCCTCAGCTCCCTCTCCCAACCCTCAGCCCCCGCTCCAAGACTCTCAGCTCCCTCCACCAAACCAACTTGACATAATTGACCCCTCACCTCCTTCAACCAACCCCTCAGCTCCCTCTCCCAAACCCTCAGCCCCCTCTCCAAGACTCTCAGCTCCCTCCACCAAACCAACTTGACATAATTGACCCCTTACCTCTTTCAACCAACCCCTCAGCTCCCCCAAACCTTCAGCCCCCTCTCCAAGACTCTCGGCTCCCTCCACCAAACCAACTTGACACTGGCGCTCAGCACAGTCCCCCAGCTTACCTTCCCCCTTCACATCACCCCCTCCTCATTTCACCAGCACCAGGGGCAGTCCAGTTGATGACCTGGATGGTGACCTCTATGATGACCCTTATGCCAATGACAATGGCCCTCTCTCTGCTCCCCACCACTGGTTGCTTGACCCATTCTGTTGT